GAGAGTTAGATTTAATCATTAGAGCAATTCGATTGCTTTTTTTTTATCAGCTCCAGTACAGTGACATGCGGTGAGGTCAATGGCTGGGGAGGCACTGGCTAGTGTCAGAGCCAGATTCATACACTGAGGGGGGCGTGGCCTCACAGAGGGGGGCGTGGCCTCACAGAGGGGGGAGTGGTCTCACGGAGGGGGCGTGGCCTCATAGAGGGGGGGCGTGTCCTCACTGAGGGGGCGAGGCCTCACAGAGGGGGGAGTGGTCTCACAGAGGGGGGAGTGGTCTCACGGAGGGGGCGTGGCCTCACAGAGGGGGGCGTGGCCTCACAGAAGGAGGCGTGTCCTCACGGAGGGGGGGCGTGTCCTCACTGAGGGGGCGTGGCCTCACCGAGGGGGCGTGGCCTCACTGAGGGGGCGTGTTCTCACTGAGGGGGGCGTGTTAGACACGTCCTCCTCAGTGAGGCAGATGTGATAGCTGCCTCCCCTGGTGCTTTTTCATTGCAGTTTCATGGCGAGACCAGCGAGCCTAAATATCTTTATACACACACGTGAAATAAGTTAGCTGAAGTATGGAAGGCGAGGACATGAAATGACGGGGTCTACAAACATTACATTGGTGACATACTGAGATAGTAACAGGCACGCGCTTATTGCCCGCGCTCCATCCAGCTACTGAGGGGTTGCGCAATCAGAGGGGAGGCTGAGCGCGTCGCTGCCTCACCTCTCGTCTCTTCCTGTATTTGCAGCGTAGCTCCGCAAATTTGTCGATTTTGACTATAAAAAGATTGGAATCGTACAGAAATGACATTTGTAACACAGATCAGTGGGAAAATATTAATATTTATTTTATTTGATTCTTCTTTTTTTTTACTTTTCGTAACAGCTATTTTCATTGGAGCATGGCAGGTGAGGCTCTGCCTCCACCCCTGCCTCTCCTGTGACCGCATGTCCCTGCTTCAGAAAGGCATTGGGGTGGCACACGGAGGTTGTGGAATCTCCTCCTCCTTCTCTCCTGTCCAACCTTTAGAGTCTTTGCCCAGTATTCTGCACAGACCACCGCTTCTGCTGTCGCCATCGCTAAATCTTGCCGAGCACCTCGGCAGCACTCACGGCGTCGAAGGCAGAGGAGTGATAAGGAAGGTTGACTGCCTGCCGTGGATCAGTGAGTGGCGGGGATTATCAATCAGCCCGGCAGAGCTACGGCGAACTCCTGTGGAGTAGGGATTTTGTTTGTTTGTTTGGTTTCCATCAAGGCAATCGCCCATTAATAAACCCCTCTCGTGAATGAAATGAGATCGATGGCATCTGCCTGGTCACCAATCGGCGCACGCGCACAATGGGTGTGTCAACACCCTCGCCTGGTGTGCAGGAGGTCGTGGCGTTCGATCCTGACGCCTGCTGCTGTATATTTGGAGTTTGGGTGTCTCTCTCTATCATCATCACGGTGGCTAGGAGATGTTAACTACCTCGCCTGGTGTGCAGGAGGTCGTGGCGTTCGATCCTGACACCTGCTGCTGTATATTTGGAGTTTGGATGTCTCTCTGTCTCTCTCTCTCTCCCCGTGGTCGCGTGGATTTTTCTCCGGGCCCTACCTTTTTTTACCTCCACATTTAGAATCAAATATAAAAGCGCGTTGAGAGAATTTGTCTGCTGTACATGTCCACGCGATGGTAAGTCTCTTTCGTTGGGCTATCAGTTGTGGCCAGGTCGCCTCTGAAAAATAGCTACGTTGCTCAGTGTGGGGGGGGAGGGGGGTCTCACCTGGTAATGAATCTTTAAAAAAAAATGAAATCATGACGAACAAGTATAACCCGTAAAAACAAACTTTTTCACTATAAATCCTTTATATGCGTGGCGGCTAGAGTCCTCTCGTCCTCTGGCTTGAGATGGCTGCCACCTATGGGTCAGATGATTGTCTGCCACCATTAAGCAATTGATAATTAAATATTTTAAAAAAATTCCCTAAAAAGTGTAAAATTTTGGAAAAAAATTTTCACGAAAATTAATTGTCACGCACAACGAGTCTGTGTGGAAAATGTCAGCTCGATTGGATCACGGGAAGTGGGTTTAAAAACGACCGAAAGATTTGCACGGTCGTAAGCGCGCAAGCAAGCAAGCAAGTGAACTTAATATAAAGGATTTTAAAATAGCTACGTAGCTCAGTGGGGGGGGGGGGGGGTCTCACCTGGTAAAGAATCTTAAAAAAAGATGAAATCATGACAAAAAACTAAATAAAATGCACTTAATTATCTCTCTTGAATAGCTCGGAGCGCTCGAGTTTGTGAAGACAGTGGGGTGGTGGAACTCGCGTCTTTCCGATTGCGGTCTGCTTGCTCCAGCACCCAGCCATCCGGCCTGGTTGACAGGAAAATAGCCAGCGTCTTTATTTAGACTGCACAATGAGTACTCAGACGAGATATGAAGCTATTTTTTTAACTCACAAATGTGTCCAGCAGGAGCGGGTCAGCGAGTTACAACAACAAACAATGTGAAACAGACAAACAAAAACACGATAGGGTGTGCAAAAACAAGTGAGAAAATGTAAGCAAGTAATGAAAAACAAGTCAAGATAAAGTACGTGCGAATTGCATGAGTTCATGCATTCCTGCCGATTTGTCAACACCAAATGCAAGCTTGGGGCAAGGCAGCAAAACAACAACAACAAAAACAGCAACAACAAAAACAACCCAGGGCCGTCCATAGTTGGGGGTGCGGGGCCCGTCAAAGCACGCCCCCCCTTCTCCAAAAGCGTGGGGCCCAGGGCAGTCGACTCGATTCGCCGTGTACCCTATAGGGACGGCTCTACGGCCAGATGATACCAAGACAACACACAAGTCACTCAATTAAATTGCGCATTCAAATGGAGAAAGGGTGGACGGATCGTATCTACAGTATCTGAATTACAGTATGAGTTGTACGTATGTGCGCTGAAATTATTTTCGCACGGTACGTAGCCATCGGAGGTGCGCGCTGGAAGGACAACAAATTGAACACAAAAAGCGCTTCTAAAGAAATGAGTCTTCAATCTATAATAATAATAGTGTTTTTCCCCTTTTTTCTGGCAACAAAACTGAAACCTTTTAACGAGGATTCATGTCTGCATTAACCACAATGCTTGCAGTCAAAATGCAAACAAAAAACATACTATGATAATATATGCATTGTCCTTGAAACTGATCTATCAATCTATGTTGAAAAGTCGACACACTGCGTCCATGTGTAAATAACAAAACAGTTTACTCGTGATTGATTGCGGTAAGGAATCGCAAAGAGAGGAAGACCTCACGGAGAGTGGTTTGACGACGACATCGGAAGAGATTTGGTGCCAGAAAGACGTGGTCACTACGAGACCGAGGAAAGTGGAAACAAATAACGAAATGTTGCAGTGGGCACCTACTGGCTGTCTGCCCATGGATCGTCGTGGTGCTGATGGTGGTGGTGATGATGATGATTTATACCAATGGCCATCCACGTATTTAATACGTCTTGAAATGCCTCTTCTTGTTTCTTTCGGTAAAGTCACGTAGAATGGAAATAATAAAATAATAAAAATAAAACATAATAAAATAATTCTCACGACGTTTCGGCCACAACGCAAGCAGCCGTCCTCAGGTGAAGACGCTGTCTCCCCGACAGACCTGGTCTTCATCTGAAGACGGCTGCTTGCGTTGTGGCCGAAACGTCGTGAGAATTATTTTATTATGTTTTATTTTTATTATTTTATTACTTCCCTTCTTCGTGACTTTACCGAAAGAACCAAGAAGATGAATCCCTGCGGTCACGAAAGCTTTAAATCGAAAGTCTTGAAATGCGTTGACTCAAACTTGCCCTGAAGTGAACCCAGGCTATATTTGCACGACTGTAATCCGTCTGGGGCCGTTCACTGGCACAGTGCCGAGACAGCGGGCCGAGGGAGTTTCACAGCCAACATTTATTTCCCTGACGGCGTGGCTTCATTAACAAATGTTGGGTTGTAATGGATCACGTGACCCCCCCCCCACACGAATAATTGACGTATTGATATTAATAATGAGCAAGCGAATGGATGGCTGTGTGGATGTGCGGGTGCGGAGAGTAGGTGAGTATTTAAGTGAGCGGGTGAGTAAGTGGATGAGTGAGTGAGCAGGTGAGTGAGTGTGTGTGTGAGGAGGTAATTCAGTGGGTGAGTGAGCGGGTGAGTGAGTAGGTAGGTGAGTCGGTGAGTGAGCGGGTGAGTGAGCGGGTGAGTGAGTAGGTAGGTGAGTCGGAGAGTGAGCGGGTGAGTGAGTCGGTGAGTGAACGGGTAAGTGAGCGGGTGAGTGAGTAAGTAGGTGAGTCGGAGAGTGAGCGGGTAAGTGAGCGGGTGAGTGAGGGAGCAGGTGAGTGTGTGAGGAGGTAATTCAGTGGGTGAGAGATCTGGTGAGTGAGTAGGTAGGTGAGTCGGGTGAGTGGGTGAGTGAGCGGGTGAGTGAGTAGGTAGGTGAGTCGGTGAGTGAGCGGGTGAGTGAGTGGGTGAGTGAGCGGGTGAGTGAGTCGGTGAGTGAGCGGGTGAGTGAGTAGGTAGGTGAGTCGGTGAGTGAGCGGGTGAGTGAGCGGGTGAGTGAGTAGGTAGGTGAGTTGGTGAGGGAGCGGGTGAGTGAGTGGGTGAGTGAGCGGGTGAGTGAGTAGGTAGGTGAGTCGGAGAGTGAGCGGGTGAGTGAGCGGGTGAGTGAGTAGGTAGGTGAGTCGGTGAGTGAGCGGGTGAGTGAGCGGGTGAGTGAGTGGGTGAGTGAGTCGGTGAGTGAGTAGGTAGGTGAGCGGGTGAGTGAGTGAGTCGGTGAGTGAGCGGGTGAGTGAGCGGGTGAGGGACTAGGTAGGTGAGTCGGTGAGTGAGCGGGTGAGTGAGCGGGTGAGTGAGTAGGTAGGTGAGCAGGTGAGTGAGCGGGTGAGTGAGTGAGTCGGTGAGTGAGCGGGTGAGTGAGCGGGTGAGTGAGTGAGTGAGTCGGTGAGTGAGTGGGTGAGTGAGCGGGTGAGTGTTTGTGCCACAGACACAGGCAGTGACCCCGTGGTGGTGAGTGCGCTGCTGGAGGATCGCTACTACAACAACCGCACCTTCGCGGTAAGTACGCACAACAACAACACAACAGCAAGGCGAGACGTAACAACACAACAACAACACAACGTGAACACGACGACTCAACAACAACATCATCATCACTGCCAACGCGTCGCGCGCTTTCAGATGCGCTGCTTCTGCGCCCGTCTGGAACGTTCTTGCTTTCCAATATTCGGAAGTCACTGGAGCTGTACACTCTGAAGTCGTCTCGATAAGGCAGGGGTGGGGAACCTTTTTTCTGCCAAGGGCCATTTGGATATTTATAAAATCATTCGCGGGCCATAATTTTTTTTATCAACTTAAAAATTAGCCTGTTCTATTTGGTCAAACATTTAATTAACTCACCCCTAATGCGATGGCTGGAACCGCTTCTCTTTAACGAGGCGTGTGATGATATTAGCTGGTATTGATGATGTCGCTACTCGCAACTGCTTTTCCAGGTTTGCTCCTAGATTTATTGAATTTCGAGTCCCGCCTGCGCTTGCCTTGGCAGGGCCACACCAAATGATTTCACGGGCCTTGTACGGCCCCGCGGGCCGGACGTTCCCCACCCCTGAGATAACACTGGTCAACAGAAAAAAAATTCTGGCCTGGACTTTTGCAGCTGTTTTAGACTGCTGATTCCAAATCTGATCTTAGATTTGCTCTATCACATCTCATTTTTATGCTATCGGCATACCCCATTTTCATTGATTTTACCCGAAATTAACTCTGTCACTTATGATTGCAAGTTGTTGCGGAGTCAGTGACTGCTTTAGTGTTAAAATATGGTGCTGTATTTTTAGGATAGTGTCTTTATAATATAATTTTACGGAGACATCCACATTTATTTAATATTTTTCTTCTCCAGTTTTTATTGAAAATGCAATATTTGATATCTCAAAAACCTGATGTGATAGACAAAAAACTGATGCCAGATTTGGAATCAGCACCCCCCAAAATTACCTTAAAACCGTTGGAATACCTTATGTCAGAACAAGTGTGTTGACCAGTGTTAGGGGTCGCGTGCGACTCTTTAAGGACTGCTGCTTCGTGACACGCTACTTATCAAGGACCCACCACCGTCTCGCATTCGCCACGCAGTGGCATTGCGGATCTTGAAGTATTGAGTTGCTTTTCGATTTAAAGCTTTCGTGACTGCAGGGATTCATATTCTTGGTTCTTTCGGTAAAGTCACGTAGAAGGGAAATAATAAAATAAATAAAATCAAACAATAAAATTCTCACTGAGAAAACAATTAAATTCTCACTGAGAATGTTATTGTTTTATTTTTAAAAAAAATTATTTTATTTTTTCCCTTCTACGTGACTTTACCAAAAGAACCAAGAATATTGAGTTGCTGTTTTTTTAAAACCCGAATTCGAAATAAAATGGCACTTCTTGTTATTTCGGTTGCCCGACGCCAGATCTCGATTGGAAACTCATTTCGTGAGAGCTGCTTGTTGTTGTTGTTGTTTACTTTGTTGTAGTTCCCCACCCCGCCCACACCTCTGATTTGCGCGGTTGGCTACGGACTGCTTGCATTGTGGCCGAAACGTCGTGAGAATTGTATTTTACTTTGTTTCATTTGTTTTATTTTATTATTTCCCTTCTACGTGACTTTACCGAAAGAACCAAGAGGATGAATCGCTGCAGTAACGAAAGCTTTAAATCGAAATCTACGGGGGATGTTTTGTCTTCTGTGGTGTGCCCAGGCGGCTGAGAAGCGCTACGCCGGAGAGTTCTACGCGAAGCCGTCTCCGCGGGGAGAGCCGCGAGTCGCCGCGCATTCGAGCGACGCGGACGCGGCTGCCCGCAGCGAGTGAGTTGTCCCCTCCGGAGTTGGTTTGTGGTTCACCAGGGCGAGGACTCGAGAGAGAGAGAGAGAAGGAGAGGGAGAGACGGGATCGTGACGGCAAAGATATTCACCGCCGGGACTTCTTTCGCACCGTACGTAGCCGACCGCGCTAACCGAAAGGTGCGGGGGAAGGACAACAAACTAAACACACAAAAGAGCAGTTTCTAAAGAAACGAGTCTGCCAATCTGGATGATGCTGATTTACAAGAGCATGGCTCCCAGTGGCTTCCTGATATCGGAAGGGAGGAGCGTTCCAGATGGCCGCAAAAGCGCATCTGAAAGCGCCGCGCGACGTGGTAACCACCGCATTTGTTCGATGGCCGAGTCCAAATTCCGCTGCTGCTGCTGCTGCTACGAGAATGATGACTGACTGGAGTGTGGCGTGACGATGGCTTTTGACTCTTTGGTGAGCTCAGCCAGGCCTTGTTGTGGTCAACGTGCGGCGAGGCGCTTCGCGTGTGGAATGAGCGTCACCTCACAACAGACTCGTTCGGCAACCGGACAAGGTGGGCCCAATCGCTGCCCCGAACATGCCGCCTGTTTCGATTTAAAGCTTTCGTGGCTGCAGGGATTCATCTTCTTGGTTCTTTCGGTAAAGTCACGTAGAAGGAAAATAATAAAATAATACAAATAAAACATAATAAAATAATTCTCACGACGTTTCGGCAACAACGCAAGCAGCCGTCTTCAGGTAGAGAACAGGTCTGTCAGACTCTGCCTTCTCGACAGACCTGTTCTCCACCTGAAGACGGCTGCTTGCGTTGTGGCCGAAACGTCGTGAGAATTATTTTATTATGTTTTATTTTTATTATTTTATTATTTTCCTTCTATGTGACTTTACCAAAAGAACCAAGAAGATGCCGCCTGTTGTTACGCATGCATTGTTGATCCTCCCCAAGGCCACGACGCGGTTGTGATTGGCGAATGCGCTTAGTTGTGTGTCTGTGTGTGTGTGCGTGCGATGATCTGAGCGGGGAGCGGTAGTGAAGCGGTTAGCGCTACGCTGCGCTATGAACCCCGCGACCCGGGTTCGATTCCCGCTCACGGTCAACACCGGCGACGGTTATCTGAACAGGTCGTTGGGCTTCTGCTAGGTCGACTTAGCCTCAAATAACTACCCGGGTGCTGTGTGTAAAACATCGCCAGCGGGGAGCCAACGGCGGCCTTCGTGGGTACTCGCTAACAGCACTTGCCCTAGCAGTTTGGTCAGGCTATACGGGGGGGAGGGTTATCTTTGTCTTTGTGTGTCGGGAGACCTGGTTTTTGTTCCCTCCACATAAAAAATCAACATCACGCGTTCAGAGTAATATGGCTGCTATAAATGTCCACGTGATGATAGGCCACTCGGTTGAGCTATCATTTCTGAATAGAAAAAAAGATATCCACAGCTCCGTGGGCCTGGTAAAATGAACGAAAAAAAAGTTCAGTTTAGAGTTTTCAAAGAGGCCGCATAGCTCATCGGATTTCTCCAATGGTGGCTGGTCCGAAGGGTGGGTGGGTGGGCTGGTGGTGGTGGCTGCAGGCAGGGCTGTAACGGCTGAATTTAAAGCAGATAGATCCGTGATGCCTGCGCAGTCGATTTATGATAATAACACGGCGGCGGCTGCGGCCACGGCTTGGGGGAATGATTGGTGGGGAGGGCGCAGCTTGCAAATAGCAACGCGAGGCGCCATACGGAAATTGAGCTCTGGGGCTTGTGAAACAATTCACTCGCGTGCCTTGTATTGCCTGTGCCGTGGGCTATTTCGTTGTCCGTTCCCCGCATTTCCGATTAGCACGGTTGGCTACGTATGGCGCGAAAGAAGTTCAACATACATACAAACCGCACCTCCGATTGGCACGGTTGGCTCTGTACGGCGCGAAAGAAGTTCAACATTCACGCATACAAACCGCACTTCCGATTAGCGCGGTTGGCTACTTAGGGTGCGAAAAAAATTCAACATACACGCATAGACATTTCGATTAAAAGGAATCTAAGCCTCGGGTTCCCGGGCTGGCTACTGACTGGGCTCCTGTCCACCACCACCACCCCAACAATAACTCGGTTGTTTGCCGTGGCTGCTGCGGGGCTGTTACCACGGAAGCTGGCTGGGTAACTGGCTACACGGGATTCCCCCGTGCCTCAAATAAACACCGAGTTGAGTTGCAGCGGCGGAGGAAGACGCGCAACGGACATAGCGACACACCGAGGAGGTGGGAGTAACGAATGCAGAAGACTGACCACGGCTACGAATGTGCCAGATAATCGTCAGACGGCTACGAGGAATTCGACCATCAATGACGATAATGACGACAGATGATGACGAGGATGACGATGACGACGGACGATGACGACGATGACGACACACGATGATAACGATGACGTCACGTGATGATGACGATGACGACGGACAATGACGACAATGACGACGATGACGATGGACGATGACGACGATGACGTTGCACGACAATGACGATGATGACAACATGATGACGACGATGTGCCGCTAACGGCGAACTCCGCCTAGGCTCACAGTGATCACATGACCTTTACCCCCTCTATTTAAGACGGAAGCAGGAAGGGCATCTTCACAATTCTGGCTGCTGCCTGATGCAGCTGGCTGCTGCTGTTGTGATCACGCAGCGAAACGTCACGGAACTCGAATTGCAAACGTGTGTGGGTTTACTCTCCGACACACAGCTGGTGTGCGCTGACAGCAGTTGACTAATCTGTTCACGTGACAAGCCTTACTGATAGGCCGCGTGCGCTCGAGTGGTGGCGGATTTAAAGATGCATTTATATTTACGCGATCGAACGCCTCCCCCCACCAGCCAAAAAAAAAACTTTGCCATGAACTCCTCCTGCGTGTGTCCGTCCGTTTCTTCCGTTCGTCCGTTCCAGCTCTGACGACGACGTGAAGCTGGCGTCGTTACCGCCGCCCCGTCCGCCGCCGGTCTGCGAGCTGTCCGGCGCGCCGGGCTGCGCGACTGCGCCGGAGGAGGAGGGCCCAGACGACGGCGCCACGGCGGGCGGGCGAGCCGCCTCCCCGTGGAACGGCGCCGTCGCCACCGGCATTGCAGCGGTGGCTCGTGGGCTTGGGGAGCTGGAGGAGGAGGGGGAGAGAGAAGAGGAGGGCGGCAATGGAATCGCGGCTTTTGACGAGATCATCGCTCAAAGCGGCCACGGTTACGCGGCTGCGATGGCGGACGGAGATTTGGGTGATGATGATGATGATGGTGATGATGATGGTGGCGGTGGTAATGATGACGACGGCGGTGTCAGAGCGAGAGATGCCGGTGGCTCTGCGGAAGACGGGGGAGACTTTGGAGGATTGGAGGAGGAGGAGGGCGATAGAGGTCTGAGTTCACTTGAAGAGTCGAAGTTTCTGGCGGAGAGCGGAGGTGACGGGGCAGGCGGAGAGCGCGAGGACGGTATCGGGGAGGGCATTGATGTTGAGAACAAGGGTGGCACCTTCATGCAGAGCATCGATGTCGCGGCAAGTATCGACGTAGATGAAGATGATGTCATCGCAAGAAGTGTCGATGTAGCGGGCAGCGTAGACGTGGACGAAGATGATGTCATCACCACACGAAGCGTCGATGTTGCGGGAAGCATCAGTGCGCGTGAAGATGATGTCATCACACAAAGTGTCGATGTTGCGGGAAGCATTGATGTGGACGAAGATGATGTCATCACACAAAGCATCGATGTTACGGGAAGCATCAGTGCGCGTGAAGATGATGCCATCACACAAGGTGTCGATGTTACGGAAAGCGTCAGCGTGGATGAAGGTGACGCCATCGCTGCAGAAGAGCCGCGCGACATAGAGCGAGCCGCTCCAGACGGCGATGCAGACGGCAGAGACGGAGACGCAGACGCCGACGGCGAAGGAGGAGACAAGGAAGAACAGCGGCGACAGCGCACCCCCACAAGTTCCGTCGACGCCACCGCCGTGATTGCTTCGGCGCGGTCCGAGATCGGGGAGGCCCATGCCGACGTCGCCCTTCCGGCGGAAGACATCGAGGCCACGTGGCGGGAGGCCGACGAAGGCCCCGTAAGTGACGACGCCGCCGCCGGAGCGAGCGATGGCTTCGACGACAGAGACGTCCCCGCGCCGAGCTCGGAGCGCTCGCGAGACGGAGGCGTGAGTCGTGAAGAATTTCACGAGGGTGGCGATGGCGGTGGTGATGTTGACGGCGGTGGCGATGATGCCGATCGTCAGGAGGCGGAAGAGCCCAGTGGCCACGTCTTTGAAGGATGAGGAAGAGCCGCAGGTCGCGACCGACAAGATGAGGGCATCGCGTGAAAGAGGATGGAGAGGTCTTCTTGGTTCTTTCGGTAAAGTCACGTAGAAGGGAAATAATAAAAGAATAAAAATTAAACATAATAAAATAATTCTTACGACGTTTCGGCCACAACGCAAGCAGCCGTCCTCAGGTGAAGAACAGCGTCTATCGGAAAGACAGCGTCTGAATGAAAAAAATGATGGAGAGGTCGCTTGAGTTTTCCTCTTTCCCGCTGTTCGCTGGTTCCGAGCGATACCTGAGCTCTTCCCCAGGCCGTTTTCGGAGCTGGTGCACGTCCACAATTAAAGGAATGTCATGGAACAACTTGATAATCCACGCACATACATTTATATATATGTTAAAAAGAATAACGCGAGGTCGTGTAATCACAACACTTTGCAATCCACTTCAGCTCCTCGCTGAGGCCTATTCTGCTCTACAGGGAACCTTTCCGTCGTATTTACCGTATCATCTTCTCCACAGGTGATCCCACAATCACATCATTTGCTTTCTTCGCGCGCTTAATCCGCCTAACTCTAAACGATCACCGAAATACAACGCGATAATTGTTGGCAACTTCTCGACAACAGACGCAATAATTGTTTCGATAACTCTAAGAACATTTGTCAGCGACACGCCACTCACTGGACAATGAGATTTCGTTCGATTATTGAGTTTTTTCCCGAGACACCCCCCCACACACAGACACCCCGTCCCTCAACTTTCAGAGGGAGCCTGTGACGTCACAAGTGACCTCGAGGGTAACGTTTTGAGGCAAATCGTTTGGTGGCCGTTGTCACCGACAACGGTTGCAATTTTCAATCGCGATGAATTAAAGATGCTCCCAAAATATAAGTGGTCAACAAAAAAAAACTTTTTTTTCTGGCCTGGACTTTTGCAGCTGTTTTAGACTAATTTCAGGGCGCTGATTACAAATTTGATCTCAGATTTGCTCTATCACATCTCATTTTTATGCTATCGGCATACCCCATTGTCATCGATTTTACCCTAAATTAACTCTGTCACTTATGATTGCAAGTTGTCGCGAGTCAGTGACTGCTTTAGTGTTAAAATACGGTGCTGTATTTTTATGATAGTGTGTTTATAATATCATTTAATGTAGATATCCACATTTATTTAATATTTTTCTTCTGCAGTATTTATTGAAAATGTAATATTTGATATCTCAAAAACCTGATGTGATAGACAAAAACTGATGGCAGATTTGGAATCAGCACCCCAAAATTACCTTATGACCGTTGGAATACCTTATGCCAGAAAAAGTGTGTTGACCAGTGTAATTAGAAAAAAAATCCGGGTGCAATCGTTGTGTCACCGCTTCCCCCATCTCGGTGGACAAGCGAATCGACGAACTTCCAAACTCGTTTACGAGACGGTGTGGTCACGTGCCGTGTGACGTAACGAGACCAAAAAAATAGCGTCGGCCCAGGCGTTTATAAGCACACACAACCGCAGCACAGATTTCGGGCCGTGGGCATTTTTGTTTAAATTCTTTTCAATGGTCGTTGTGCGACGACCAACTGTGTGGCACTCGTAGTAGCTAGACGTTGCGATGTGACGGCGTGTTCGCGTGATTATTTTTTGCCGTGCGGTCTCATCGGCCACAAATTTGGGGCTGGGTCCAAGAAACGAAGGGGAAAGGTTGAGGAAGAATCTTTGGGGCTGGCGAATATGGGGGCTTAATGCCCACTGAGGGCGTAAATAAGCAATGCAGTGTACACATTAGAGGTAATAAAGTATTTTAATTAAAAATGTGTTTTTATAATTTTTTCTCCGATTACGTTTGCAATTTCCCCCACACAGACCAGCCTACCGGCACTTGGAATGGACCGGCCTACGGGGGCATTTTCCCTATGGACTGCCGCCCTATGGCCAGTGAGGGCCTAGTCACGTGGCTGACACAAGGTCAGGTTCAAGTTGTTTTTTTGGTTATGTTTAACCAGGCGGTGAGAACTCAAAAGAGGCCAGGGTCCAGAGTCGAGATTTTGTTTGTGTAGTAGAGTTTCCCACTCGATGTTCACAAACTGGGAGAGCAAATCGTTAACAAGGTTTTCCCGCTCAAACTAACGGTCAGGGTCTCACAAGCTGTGAGAGCTGACCGTAAACAAGGTTTTCCCGCGCGACCAAACGGTCAGGGTCAGATAGGGTGAATTGGGATCGAAAAGCAGATTGGGAACGACCAATCACAGGGTTCCACAAGGTGGCCGGGGATTGGACAACCCGGCCACGAACAAGTATAAAGCCAGAGCGCTCAGAGCTCTCGGGGAGTTCGACTACACGAAGACCCAAGACGGCGGAAGAAGCCTAGGACCCTGGACCAAGCCCTCCAGCCCTTATAAGGGCTAGGGTTCAGAGTAACCAGTGGTCGGGGAGACATCTCCCTAGGTCCAGTCAGAGGACACTGGAAGAGCGGGATGTTAAGTAGGGTGCGGAGGCTTGTACGTTCTGAGTGTAACGGGTGAGGGGACCGTATACCTCTCAGTGCATAGGGACTGTTCATAAGACAAATAAAAGTGTGTGCTACAAAAGACGTCGAAGAGTCCGTTTGTACAACACTACATTTGCAAGGGTGACCGTGGGGGAGGAGAGGTCATCAAATACGACGCAAGATCAAAACAAAATATGAAAACCTACGGCAAAGAAGCGGGCAGCCAAATCCAGAGCAAAAAATAAAATAAAAACGACCGCCTCCCTTTTGACGAATCGTGAAATGTTGCACGGACATACATCAACTTGAAAATAATACAATTATAGATTCCGCGTCACGCACATCTCAGCGGTCGTTTGCCCTCCGGACCAATCGCCGTTCGTCGGACACACTTCTGCAACAAATTCTACTTTCTATAAGAATAGGTTCAACCCTTTCTGCCATTGAAACAGTTGTGTTAAGATGTTAAAACACCAAACAGAAACCTTTTGCAAGGAATCATGTTACTGCATTAACCACACGTACTTGTGGTGAACATGCAAGCAAAAAACTTGCTCTGCATTGTCCTTGAAACTGATGGGGTCCACACCAGAGACAGCTTTCTTTAGAGCCTCGTCTCACTAACAGTGTTAGACCCAGAGGACAACGTCAACAAGCGAACAGCACAAAGACAATGCCACTACTATCAGGGCATTGAGAGCTCGGGGTGGTCCCATGATGAAACTTCACTGTCGCTACCGCCGTGCCAAGTGGTCATGGTGGGTCGCAGTGGCCGCGTAAAAGAGATCGTTCTCAGAGTCGAGCCGTTCACACCTTGCAACGGATGTGGCACTCTCGCGGCGCCACTTCACGTTAGCTAAATTGCGTAGAGCCTAAAAACACGCGCTCGGTGAAACCACGTTTTGAAAAAGGGTTTCCTGCATACAGATGCCCAATTGGACGCCGCCGTGGCTAGGAGATGTTAACTACCTCGCCTGGTATACAGGAGGTCGTGGGTTCGATTCCGACCCTGACGATGCCTGCTGATGTATATCGGGGAGTTTGCGTGTCTTTCTCTCCGTGGTGAGATGTTAACTACCTCGCCTGGTATACAGAAGGTCGTGGGTTCGTTCCCGACCCTGACGATGCCTGCTGTATATTTGGGCGTTTGTGTATCTCTCTCATCATCTTCATGGTGGCTAGGAGATGTTATTTACCTCGCCGGGTATACAGGAGGTCGTGGGTTCGATCCCGACCCTGACGCCTGCTGCTGTATATTTGGACGTTTGTGTATCTCTCTCATCATCTTCACGGTGGCTAGGAGATGTTAACTACCTCGCCGGGTATACAGGAGGTCGTGGGTTCGTTCCCGACCCTGACGCCTGCTGTATATTTGGGTGTTTGTGTATCTCTCTCTCTCATCATCTTCACGGTGGCTAGGAGATGTTAACTACCTCGCCTGGTATACAGGAGGTCGTGGGTTCGATCCCGACCCTGACGATGTCTGCTGTATATTTGAGTGTTTGTGTATCTCTCTCTCATCATCATCACGGTTGCTAGGAGATGTTAATTACCTCGCTGGGTATACAGGAGGTCGTGGGTTCAATCCCGACCCTGACGATGCCTGCTGTATATTTGGGTGTTTGCGTATCTCTCTCTCATCATCTTCACGGTGGCTATGATATGTTAATTACCTCGCCTGGTATACAGGAGGTCGTGGGTTCGATCCTGACCCTGACGATGTCTGCTGTATATTTGAGTGTTTGCGTATCTCTCTCTCATCATCATCACGGTTGCTAGGAGATGTTAATTACCTCGCTGGGTATACAGGAGGTCGTGAGTTCGATCCCGACCCTGACGATGCCTGCTGTATATTTGGGTGTTTGTGTATCTCTCTCTCATCATCTTCACGGTGGCTTGGAGATGTTAACTACCTCGCCGGGTATACAGGAGGTCGTGGGTTCGTTCCCGACCCTGACGCCTGCTGTATATTTGGGTGTTTGTGTATCTCTCTCTCTCATCATCTTCACGGTGGCTTGGAGATGTTAACTACCTCGCCGGGTATACAGGAGGTCGTGCGTTCGATCCCGACCCTGACGATGCCTGCTGTCAATTTGGGTGTTTGTGTATCTCTCTCTCATCATCTTCACGGTGGCTTGGAGATGTTAACTACCTCGCCGGGTATACAGGAGGTCGTGCGTTCGATCCCGACCCTGACGATGCCTGCTGTATATTTGGGTGTTTGTGTATCTCTCTCTCTCATCATCTTCACGGTGGCTAGTAGATGTTAACTACCTCGCCGGGTATACAGGAGGTCGTGAGTTCGATCCCGACCCTGACGATGCCTGCTGTATATTTGGGTGTTTGCGTATCTCTCTCTCATCATCTTCACGGTGGCTATGATATGTTAATTACCTCGCCTGGTATACAGGAGGTCGTGGGTTCGATCCCGACCCTGACGATGTCTGCTGTATATTTGAGTGTTTGTGTATCTCTCTCTCATCATCATCACGGTGGCTTGGAGATGTTAACTACCTCGCCGGGTATACAGGAGATCGTGAGTTCGATCCCGACCCTGACGATGTCTGCTGTATTTGGGGGAGTTTGCGTGTCTTTAGCTCTCCCCATGGTGGTCGCGTGGATTTGTCTCCGGGTCCTCCGTTTCCCCCCCCCCCCTCTACATTTAGGAATCAACATCACGCGTTTCGAATATTTGGCAACAGCTGTAAATCTCCACGTGACGACGATAAGCCACTTCCGTTGAGCTATCGTTTGTGATGTCCAGGTCGCTTCTGAAATAAAAAGAGAGAGAGAGCGATACAGCTCAGTGGACCTTACCTGGTGACGTACAAAACAAAATAGTTTCATAGTTTAGTTTCGAGTCACATATTTAGATATATCGATGCGTGCGCACGCACACGATGCACTTAAACGTGCGCCAACAGTCAGAAACACGTTGGTGACTCATGACGGATGATTTCACAGAAACCGGCCGAGGTAAGTGCTCCACTTTGCCACCACCCCCCACCCCTCCCTCTAATACAGGAGATTAACATTCACCCTTGCGTTGTAGGCGGCCGTGGAGCGGTGGCGCAGTGGTTAGCGCAGTCGGTCGTATGTTCGTGTTATGCAATGACTTCAGAGATACAAACTGTAGAGGGCTTCATTGGAACCTCATTTGCCAGTAAAAAATATGATAATTGTTTTTTTACCCTTCTATCTGGCAACAAAAATGACACCTTTTTTTTTAACAAGGAGTCATGTTTGCATAGACCACAATACCTGCAGCCATAATGCAAACAAAAAACATAACTCTGATAATGTATGCACTGTCCTTGAAGTTTATTGGTCCACACCCGAGACAGCTTTCCTCAGAGCCTCGTCTCACATGGGTTGGACCAGATGATTGTTGACCAATCAACTTCAAGGACAGTGCATATATTATCAGAGTTATGTTTTTGTTTGCATTATGGCTGCAGGTATTGTGGTCTATGTAAACATGACTCCTTGTAAAAAAAGTGTCAGTTTTGTTGCCAGATAGAAGGGTAAAAAAATAATTATCATGTAGAGGGCTTCTTTATTATTTGTCGTTCACTGCACAGCCACGACTCGATGCCACAGTCACAGTGTGAGAACATAGCGCTGGCCGACTATATAGCGACGACGGTGGCGACGACTGACTTGCTGGCTGACTATATGACGATGGTGACGATGGTGATGGCGGCGGCAGCGATGGCGGTGGCGGCGGTGGCGGCGATGACAGCGACGTAGCGACGACAGCCAGGACCCCGAACCCCACGGCATCAGCCCAGAACCCCCGCTTCTCGCTCCCTTTTAATCCTCTCTTCTAGAACTCTCTCGCAGGTTCCTGAAGCTTCCAGATCGATGCCCTCTATGACCCCTGGCCTGGTTATCCCCCCCTTGTGGTCGCTAGGCGTATATGCTGTCTTGTGTTGTTATTCTATCCTGTTTACACACCAGTGGTTACCACTCATGGCTAGTCGACGCACTGTCTCTACATATGTACGCATATTCTTGGTTCTTTCGGTAAAGTCACGTAGAAGGGAAATAATAAAATAATTAAAATATCAAATAAATTTTCTTGCTGTGGTTTTCACACCTGATGATGATTGCTTGTGTTGCAGTCGAAACGTCGTGAGAATGTTTATTGTTTTATATTTGTATTATTTTATTATTTCCCTTCTACGTGACTTTACCGAAAGAACCAAGAAAATGAATCCCTGCAGTCACGAAAGCTTTAAATCGAAAATATGTACGCATGTTGGACTTCGTTCGCACCGTACGTATAAATATAAAACAATAAGCATTCTCACGACGCTTCGACTGCAACACAAACAATTATCATCAAGTGTCAAAACCACAGCAAGACAATTCGTTTTATATTTATATTATTTTATTATTTCCCTTCTACGTGACTTTACCGAAAGAACCAAGAATATGAATCCCTGCAGTCACGAAAGCTTTACATCAAAAATATGTACGCATGTTGGACTTCGTTCGTACCGTACGTAGCCGACTCATCGGAAGTGGCGGGGGAAGGGCGACGAAGCTAAAGACAACAAAATACCCGGCGAGCCGAGTTCGATTGCCGCTCACAGCCAGCGAACCAGGTGAGAACTCGTAGAGAACAGGGTGAGTCTCATTCTAAACTATTCAAAAGTAAAAACATCTTTTTTTATTTCACCACGTAAGACCCACCGAGCTATACAGATATTTTTTTCTCAGAATCGACTTGGCCAAAAGTGATTGCTCAACCAAGTGGCTTATCGTCACGTGGAAATTCATAGCTGCCGAATAGTCGAAACGCGTGATGTTGATTCTAAACATGGAGGGGGGAAAACTAGAAGACTCGGAAAAAATCCACTCGACCACGGGGAGAGAGACATTCAAAACTCCAAATATATAGCAGGCATCAGGGTCGGGATCGAACCCAGGACCTCCTGTATACCAGGCGAGGGAGTTAACATCTCACCATGGAGAGAAACAGACACACAAACTCCAAATACACAGCAGGCATCAGGGTCAGGATCGAACCCACGACCTCCTGTGTACCAGGCGAGGGAGTTAACATCTCACCATGGAGAGAAATTGAC